ATGGCATGAAGCAATTAAGAAGATTCATCAAGTCCTTTTTTTAACCTTACCCCCCGCCCCCTCGAGAATCACAAAGCCCCTTAGAACTAATTCTTTTATAAACATTATCGATTTTTAACGGGGACAAATTATATACCACTTAGGCTTGTAAAAACCCACTTAAAGATATCATGTCCCTTTTGCAGCTAGCATCAAATTCTGTAGAACTTTGCAGGAATTATGCATATGTCATAATTATATGTCCGATCTGTGAAATTTAAACATTAACAGTGTCTTAGTATTCAAATTATGCAAAGAAACCCGTTTACATTATAAACTTCACTGTCAGACACTTTGGGTGACTGACTGACAACTTTTTTTCTTTAGTAATAACATACATAAAATGAGCTACAACAGGTACATGTGCATATGTCTACATCAATAACCCACTAATTATAATAGCAAAAATTAAACTGATTGAATCTGTGTGCAGCACAAAACGTACAATCATTATCGACTATTACTTAGGTAATTGGAATCCCTTAAGTCGATTCGACAACTAATGGTCTTTATTTTCCCACTAAAAGCCATTTTTAAGCCCTTTCGTTTTGAGGGAAGTTCTAAATTAGTATTGTCTTTCAAATGCCGTAGGAATTTTTTTCTTTTCATGTTTATGGCCTGGCAAATGGGACATAGTACAATCTAAGGTATGTGATCATTTCATTATCATAATGATAATGTAGATGATGATGATGATGACGATAATGATGCATAATTTATGATGATACCTTTTAACAGTATTTTTCAATGATTTTCTATCAATGACCTAATCCAATCCAATACAACATTCAATGAAATACATACAATACAATTCAAAATTTGGCGCCTTACAAACCTCAATTGTTATTATTACTCTCAATATCATAATGATAATTATTATCATTATTATTATTATTATCATCATCATTATTATTGTTATTATTATAATTATTATCATCATAATTATTATAATACAATACAATACGATTCAATATGATACAGTTATAGCAGTACATGTACTTCAAAGGCGCCTTTTAGTTTTCGTGGGATGTATAATCTATACGCTGTACCCATTAAAATCCTTTATGGTCATTTGGCTCTCGCGCTCGGTGAATAATTACTAACGCCTAACATTGCTAACCACGGCGTATCGTAGCTCGCCAATCCTTGGTGCCAGCTGAACCACGTGATCAATAGTTTGCATAAGCAGAATAACTTGTGTAAAAGTTTTTAGAGTTGCATCGTTACTGTATCGTAGCAGCTTCTCAATATGTGGGTAATACCGTATCAGGACAATTACCCCCTGGGCAATCACCCCCCGGAAAATTACCCCCCGGAAAACTACCCCCCAAGGACAATTACCCCCTGGAAATTTACCCCCCGGAGAATTACCCCCCGAGGACAATTACCCCCAAGGACAATTACCCCCCGGAAAATTACCCCCCGGAGAATTACCCCCCGAGGACAATTATCCCCCAAGGACAATTACCCCCCGGAAAATTACCCCCCGGAAAATTACCCCCCGAGGACAACTACCCCCGAGGACAGTTACCCCCCGAGGACAATTACCCCCCGAGGACAATTACCCCCGAGGACAACTACCCCCGAGGACAATTACCACCCGAGGACAACTACCCCCCGAGGACAATTACCCCCCCCCCCCCCTCGAAACACCATTACCGCGGCCCGAGGACAATCACACCCAGGGAATTTGTAACACAGTGACGTATAATACGAGCTCCTCTTCAAATTGCTATTTAGAGAAAATGTCATGAACTTTCATTTTCTTAGTTATTTATGACGGAATAGATTTGTTTCGTACAGGGGTTGTGTATAAATTATATTTATATTCGTAGCTCACATTCAAAGCCCTCGTACCCATCTGCCAAATCTTTTTGCTTGACGTACATGTATCCTCCTAGGAGGAGATTTCACCCACCCCTCTCGCTCTGTATCCATTCCACCTTTGTGAAGTTTGACTTAATATGCCACGTGTATTGAATCAAATTCAATTGCCAGAAGATGCATGTATCAAATCGAATTCAATTGCCAGAAGACGCATGTATCAAATCAAAGTACGGAATTTACATTTCTTAGAAATTTAACAATACATTGCGCGCAGATGAGTACGCGTTAATACAGCTAGTCTCCCCAAAAATGGCCCAACAAAGAAATTAGGATGTAAGATATCATTATTTATGCATCCTCTGTAACTTTTCTAATCAGCTGATCGTATATTTGTCTTTGTATGTATAATGGGCCCTCATCCATGATCTATTCCAAAATTAAGGTTCTCTTCATGTTTATAAATGTAATGTTATATATATATATATATATATATATATTTCTGTTGTCATGGTGAACTAAAATATGTTTTCTTGTACCGTAATTTATTTTGAAATAAAAATTGCCTTCAAGTTAAATATATGGTATGAACGGTGCCATATTAAAAGAAAATAAGTATCCGCACTTGGGTACATTCATCTCAATGATTTTGTAATTCCAGAGCAGCGTTTTTTCAACTGGGGTGCCGCAAGAGAATGTTAGTTACATGACAATTTTTTTTGGCAAACGTTGATTTTGTGAAAAACAAATATCAGAAACGGGTAGAGTATTTATTTTCATGAGAAAATAAAATGTAAACAAATAATAAAATGTCTTTCTTCCTCGCTCGCTGACAATATTTTGCGAATATATATCTTTTATTTCGACATTATATTGTTACCACACTCATCACAATTATAAACATGATGAATCAAGGCAACGAGAGGCCCGAATATCCTCATATTCGTGTATCAAGGTCATGACCGAATATTTCACTTTATATTCGTGTACATTCGGTGGTGAGGCGCCCGCATACCTTAAATCTGTGCTAGTGTGTTGAATACAACATTATGTTTTACCATTTTGAAAATGTCTTGTCCTTGTTTTTCTTGCTCGTTCACTAAATCAAGAAACAAATGTGCCCATACGTGTGTACATAGCACTTGACGAGTGCCAGAGTGATGCAAAATAAATAGTTTGTGAAGAATTTAAGATTGGGCGAAACTTTTCATTTCTTAAGAGGGCATCATGTCGAACAAAAAGTTGAAATAACGCTGCACAAGAGAAATCCTTCGTAGAAAACAGCAACCACAGTGTTGTTGCATACATTATAGTTAAAGAAAAATGTGTAGTAATGAGGAAGATCACGCGCAAGTATTTGAACGAATGTGGGTTCATGCACGGGATTTTATGGGCTCGTAGCCTTCACAGCATCTCTCAACGTGTCAGATCGTCTTTTGCTATTGAATCCTGATTGTCCCCGGGGGGGGGGGGGGGAATTGTCCTCGGGGGCGGGTAATTGTCCTCGTGGGGTGATTCCTCAAGGGGTAGTTTTCCGGGGGGTAATGTCCTCGGGGGTAGTTGTCCTCGGGGGGTAATTTTCCGGGGGGTAGTTTTCCGGGGGGGTAATTATCCTTGGGGGGTAATTGTCCTCGGGGGGTAATTCTCCGGGGGGTAATTTTCCGGGGGGTAATTGTCCTTGGGGGGTAATTGTCCTCGGGGGGTAATTCTCCGGGGGGTAATTTTCCGGGGGGTAATTGTCCTTAGGGGGTTATTGTCCTCGGGGGGTAATTCTCCGGGGGGTAATTCTCCGGGGGGTAATTGTCCTTGGGGGGTAGTTTTCCGGGGGGTAACTTTCCGGGGGGTGATTGCCCAGGGGTAATTGTCCTAGAACCGGGTAATACTATACTAGTCTATGATATTATTTCTTATCGTGCTCAAAATGGGATATCTTTTTAGATCAACATGAAGGGAATTCATGCGTTATGATTTCCTGTTAACTATTTAATTGCCGCTTTAATAACTAGAGCCTGAACTGTTGTTGGGAGGGGGGGGGGGAGGATGATGGATAGGGATATGATATGATATTGGTATGTGTTATTATAGATATATCGACTGCTATGAGAGGCCTGGCTGTTAGCGTAGGCTGAAGGGATCATGGCAGGATGCAACATCCCTGAGAGCTTATAGAGACAGCCAGGCCTCGAATATGAAAGCAGTCGGTATATCTTTTATATACCGAATTGACCAAAAAATATACCAAGAATTCTTACCTTATCCTTTTCTTGAGTAAAAATTGGTTAAAACATCACAGAAAATTTGAGACACTGTAAATCTTCGCTGGACAGATGACTGAATGTTACAATCATCCGGGAATCGCACACAAAAAGCACTGTATGGTATCTGCGCTCGCACAAAGAAATTTTAACACGTAAACCAATGGGGATCTCATCAAAATTTAAGTATTTTCCCGGTACCCAGAATCTTTCGGGAATCTCACTCATGAACTATTCACCGTTTCTGGCATTGTTCGTTTCTTTAAGGGAATGGCTAAAATCAATTTCGACCAATCAGATGGCTATATTTCTAAAGAGGGATTTAATTATAATTAGATATACAACTTTAACATTACTGGAAACAGAAAGAACATGTAATGATATTGATATTTCAGTACGATTTCTGTATAAAAAGTTTCAGGCTTTAATTGTCGAAATTACAAAAGAGTGAGCGACTTGGGAGTAGATTAGTAGGCCTTTCATACAAGCGCATGGAAGTATATTCCCCTTTATATTCTTTAATACATAACCGTTAGAATATCTCATATGGTTGTGCGTGTGATTTTATTACTTGTAAATGTTTAAATGTTTCTCCAAAAAAGGAAATATGACTTTCGGTTTCGTCTGAAAACATATATAATTGTCTCTTGAACCTATATTTTAGTTATGATTACTAATTTAAAACATGATAACCACAAGTTGTTAAGGGAACAAAAATATCCGACCGCCTTTTTACAGCTCATATTGAGGCTAACCGTCTGCAGCAAAGGATACAAATTTGTTTATGCTTCTATGAGCTTGTGTTAGCATATATTCAAGAGCGATATATTATTATCCGACAAAGGTGTATCTTTCCCTTTTCAGAGGTGTTATATTGACGTCATGGCGAACGGCTCAATGTGGTTCCCATTTCTCGTCGCTTGTATCCTCGTCAGCTCATCCTTTCAATCTTTACATCGAGACGATGGAGATTCGGCGGTGCCATTCTTAACACTTGACATGGAAAAACATTTCCATGGATGTGATCAGAACCTTGAACTGAAAATAGCTTCTTGCCACGATAAAGGCCTGGACACGGTTCCCCAGAATCTTTCTGAGGATACCGAGGTGCTTGACTTGTCTCAGAACAATGTCACTAAACTCTTGAACTCCTCGTTTGAAGTATACCCTCTAATCAACTCCTTGGATGTTTCTTCTAACGATGTAAGAGAAATAGAATCCGCCACTTTTTACCCCCTCAAGGACCTAAGGTCCCTGTCTCTATTATCTAACCCGCATCTTGTGCTTCCAGCAACAGGCATCTTTATGATGTCTACACAACTCTCCTTTCTCGACTTAACAAGATCAAACTTGAAGTTGCTCCCTAATGACATTCTAAAATGGAGTCCACATATTGATACTGCATATCTGTCCATCAACAACCTCTCCTTCATCAAGATAAGTTCGTGTGGCATGGTCGACACTGTAGACATGACTGGTAATCAGCTACAACAACTTACGGCAGGAGATTTCACATTTGTGTGCCATACTAATACTCTAGATCTTAGAAAAAACCCTATCCAATCAGTAGACCCTGATGTAATCGCATCACTACATGTTCGCTCTTTGACGTTAGGTGGCTACCGCTATAGTGACGAAGTGTTAACGAACATCACGCTAGGAATATCAAAATCAGACATCGAACAGCTTACAATCCTGGGAGGCATTGTTGGTGCGTTTCCTAAAAGTTTCTTTGACCCACTGCGCGATTCTTCTCTCTCTGTTCTGGACATTAACAGTAACGACTTGAATAGCCTCCTTCCTTTGGTCTTCTCAAATTTAACAAAACTCAAACGATTCAGTCTCAGTTATAACAATCTCCCATATACGAAATTCAACCTGACTTTTTCTACGGCATGAAGGCATTAAAGGTACTGGTAATGAAATACAACAACGTAAGACAAATAAATCTTCACGATCAGACTTGGACAGTGGACTTATCGGAGTTTTGCTTATCCGGTAATCTGTTTACAGAAATATCTGGATCTGTATTTCGCGGTTTAGGAAATTTAACTTTCTTAGACATGAGCTCGAACGAATACCTTTCTGCCTTTGAGATGACTGCCTTTTCGGGACTTGACAATATTCAAATCATTGATTTGGCCGGAAGTCGTATAAGTGTTCTGGAATTGAATACCCCAATGTTAAGATCACTTTCCCTAAACTCTGTTCATTCACACGTACTTGTCTTTCAACCGGGAGAATCGTTTCAACACTTGCAATCCCTTATTAATTTAGACATGAAAGACTCTAAACTTCACCTATGGAACCTATGGAATGTCATTACAAACGCTTCTCTGTTTGATGGTTTATTGGATCTTACTCATTTGAACTTGAGCAGTAACCCTTTGCTGAGTTCGGAAAGTGATTTACCGCCAGGAATATTCCAGCAACTCTCTGTTTTACAAGAACTAAATCTAGACTCCTGTGATATAACAAATCTACATCCTCTTGTCTTCTCGGGGTTGGATTCGCTTCAGAAATTGAGTTTGAAAGGAAACAACATCCAGCATATTCATGATGATGTATTGTCGGGGTTGGGTCAAATAATAAGCATTAACTTTGAAGGAAATCGTATCGCATACCTGGAGGAGCTAATGTTTTCAAATAACTGGAAACTTACAAATCTTTCCTTGGCCGACAACAGATTAACGCGCCTAAATCAAAGCACTTTTAAGCCGATCTATTCCTCCATTTTATCACTTGATCTATCAATGAACCCAATAAACTGTAACTGTGATCTAAAGTGGCTCATTGATTGGTTGAATAAACCTATAAGCCTGCTCGAAAAGGAAAACACTATATGTTCGTCAGCATCTCTGGAGCCTCTTCGTGAGAAACCCCTGCTTAATTTTGATCCAAATAAGCTTTGCATGATGAACAATGGTCTATTCTCTCTGATTCCCCTCGCCTCCATTAGCTTGGTTGTAATCAGCGTGCTGTTGTATCACTACCGATGGCAGTTGAGGTACAAACTCTTTCTCTTCAAACTGGCCGTACTGGGCTATAAAGAGATGCGAGACGCTCGAGACCACAATGACTACGAATTTGACGTGAACATCATTTTCTACGACGATGACGAAGATGACGAAGAATGGATTCGCGAACACCTTCGACCGGCTCTCGAAGAGCGACTTCCTCAGTTTCATAGGAACGTCTTTGGTGACGAAGATCTTGTGCTGGGTATGCATTACTTAGATTCTGTCGATTACGTGGTGAGCCATAGTTACAAGACAATCATAGTGCTTAGCAGAGCTGCTGTGCACGACCACTGGTTCATACTCAAGTTCCGGACGGCCATGGACCACGTGAGTGACACTCTGACGGAATTCGTAGTCGTGCTTTTCCTCGAAGACATCCCAGATGATGAAATGCCATTCTTGGCGAGGTTGTAGAAGAGCGACTTTCTCAGTTTCATAGGAACGTCTTTGGTGACGAAGATCTTGTGCTGGGTATGCATTACTTAGATTCTGTCGATTACGTGGTGAGCCATAGTTACAAGACAATCATAGTGCTTAGCAGAGCTGCTGTGCACGACCACTGGTTCATACTCAAGTTCCGGACGGCCATGGACCACGTGAGTGACACTCTGACGGAATTCGTAGTCGTGCTTTTCCTCGAAGACATCCCAGATGATGAAATGCCATTCTTGGCGAGGTTGTATCTCAGTGATGGCAGACCCTATATCCACTGGACTGAGAACGTGAGAGGACAACAATATTTCTGGGATGAATTGATCAAAAATCTTACTATTAATCTAAGAACGAATGACTTGATCCCAAACGAGTAGCAGTATTGTAGGAATCTAGAAATACATGTATTGGTTATCAGTTTGAAAGTAGTAGTAGTAGTAGTAGTAGTAGTAGTATTAGTAGAAGTAGCAGTAGTAGCAGCCAGGGGCAGATAAGGGACGCTGGGGCCCGGGCCCCCTCCTCTGACAAAAATAATATTTACATAAAGATGAAAACGTTAATTTTATCTTTAAAAAAGGAAAGAAGACGCCACCCCCTTTGTTGTTGTTGCTCGAGGGGGGGGGGGGGGGTGAGTAAAACAAACAAAATAAAGCTTCATACCCGATAATGATGAAGGAAACTGAAAACAATAATTGCACGAACCATCACCCAATTAAATACATTTTTCCTTTCTCTCAATTGTTTCTGTGAGTGCTTGGTGATATATCGTATTGGATTGTGTATATCCATAATGACAAAGTGCGTTCTAAATCTATTTCATTAATCGCTTGTACTTGTTATAGTGACAGACGAAACCGTTGTGAAGGACTTGTGCACAACCTAAAGCACTATGTAGGAAGCTGTTCATGACTTCAAGATATAAAAGTGGTATTTTTAAAACGATCCGATACTCTCCTTAAACCTGTCATTGATCGCGATAGTTTATTACACTTAACCTGCATGTGACCTTATCCACGGACGATATATTTTAAGGGTTACTACGATAGGGCGTACATATATTTATCTTCCCATTGGTTCATATTCCATTGAGCAGTGTAGACAGGAAAACAAAACATTGATTACAATACGCACAGCTATACGAAAGATAGAAACGTTGTATCGCTCCTTGAATCACCAACCCAGCAATTTTCTACCAATCGTGTTTCGCTCTCTTCAAAATGTATTGCAACGCATTAATTCTTTACATCTTCGACAGTGAGAACGGATGGTGAAAGAGACAAACATACCAATACAGACATGCCTATATACATTTTTGTTCACTTCTTTCATTATAAACATACATCAAGTTTACTTTCGCCCATCACATGCCGATAACTTTGAGATGACTGGTGTCGCGAAATGATCCGACCCAGCAGGTGCTTTTTCGTGAAAAAGGTGTAGATCAACACGACGGTTAAACAGACCGCTTCTCTGAAACAACGTGTCTGTGAACTATTAACCATGTATCGACAACGCGCCTTCAACTTCGGGTGGAGAACACTGTTCTTTGCTCTTGTGATCCACAACTTTTACCAACTTGCTTTATCTGCGAGTAATATTTGTACAAACCGAAATATAGTAGTAAGTGTTGTGGAAGGGCAGAATGTTTCAATTTATACATTTCACCTGGAACGTCCACTTCTTTAGAACCAATTTCTAGTGTGGAGAAAACAGACGAAATCTTGGAAACTTAATTTCACACATAACATGTTGTGTTCTAGGTTGAATCATGAACGTTATAAGCTGAGGTCGGACGTCGAAGCCTTGTACGCCAAACCCGACATGAACCGAAAAACAATGAAGTCCATCTCCAGGTCAGTCACGCTCGAGTGTGGTCGATTAGAAATGACCACTCCGGACCTGGACTATGATGATGTTAGGAATCCGATGGATAGCGTTATTGAAAGTGCCATTGTAAATACAACTCGAACGAGTGAGCCCATTTATGAATCCTGTGACTGAATTGTGATGATTCGTTAGCCTGTGAAATGCATATTTTATTTTCATCATAATATATCTCACCTTTAATAAACTTGTACACGAGTAGTTAAATGCATGTTTAATTGACTTGGATAATATTAGCCCTACCCTGACAAAACTGCAATAATGCACTTATTCGTAGGGCAATAATGTTCAGGGATTTTACATGCTGTATATCGATATATATTCTGTTCAAATATTAAACAAAATCCACAATAATCGAATCATTGTGTGATGTGGGATATTTCAATGCCAATAATGAATTAACCGATTTGAACAAATTGAATGTTGGACAGAATTTTCAATGTCATTATAAAAATAATAGTTGTTCATTGGAAACATCCGCTGATAATCAAATGATAAACCAAGAATGGTCAGTTTCCAGAACTGTTCTTATCTGGGAAGACTTCTTGAAATCCGTCTTGATATAACAAGCCTGAAGAAGAAGAAACTTCAGTGATACACCACCTTAAAATAGGAAACACTGTGACATATTGGTGGGTGGTGGGTGCACTGGCGCTTGTCTCTCAAATGAGATATCCCGAGTTTGCTGAAAGTAAGCATCACTCAAGGATCAAAGTGTTTATCAATCACAATCGAAGAAAAATCACAATGAAACAAGATATAATCAAGATAATCAAGGCAGGTGGAAATGGATAAATAGATATAATATGGAAACAAACAGTAAATAGGTTCCGTTAATCATGTTTTGTGATAGAAGGAAGTATATGACAGAATGCATTATTTATCGATCTAACAATATTATAAGTGTATTCTTTCAAGTCATCATCAATCAACCATAACCATGATAAACTTGTCAATTTTAAAGTTTTGCAAGGATTGGTTTCACGTCAACATGGATATAAAAGGGATTAATTGTCTGCTCGTTGAAAACGTTCAGTGAGCATTATGTGTTACTTGTCACTTGAAATTAAAACAAAAATGTTGAGGAAAAACCAAAACAGTAGTTAATCGTTAACAGTAATCATTTTAAAACTTACAGCAAGGTCTTCATTCAATCTTATAGGTAATTGAATAGTTGTGACCAGTGGTGCTGGGTGAGTTCCCCTATTAAATGGTCCTGGAACAAGGGAGGGGGGGGAGGGAGTGAGACACTGATCTTACTGGGAAAATGTAATGCAATTTTACAAAGCTTTTGATTGGGGCTGAGGAGGGGAGGTAACGTATTTGGGTCTCAATAGCTTAAATATATGAAGAATTTTGATGTAAATGCTATCACTACCCTTCGCATTTCTATAATACTGTACACTGTTTTGTCGTATCAGGTGTGTAAAAGGACCATCTCCCAAAAGAAAAGATAGAACCGTAACAAGTATGAAAGAAAATCAGAATAGAGGTTCCAAGATATTTTATTGTTAATGTAATTGAATGAACTGTATTATATTTATCATGCACATAATGAATCGGTATCATAATACGCAATTTTCATATTTAGAATTGTAACATTTATATAGATGTGATCATCATCAGAAAGTATATAACAATTGCAAACAATTGATTTAATGAGATTCAGAACTACTTTTTCAAAAAGAAATTGTGAGTGATTTAATGGATGATTTAGAATGTAATTTTTTTCTTTAAGTGGGATTCTTATTAAGGTAAAGCTAATAGGATATGTGAACTTGTTTATAACAATGTGTATGGGTATGTTTATGTAATTTTATTTTATATATTGCAAAGTCATGAGCAATCCCTGATAACTGTTTGTTATTTTGAAAGTAGAAGAAAAAAAACGTATGGGTCTGGGTTGATAAAATCAGAAAGTTTATTATGCAGAAACGGATAAACTTTAGGACTGTAAACACCGTTCTGTTAACGTCAATTGAAGATTGATTATACATTTCAGTCCATTCACGTAGAACAAATATTCTTTACCACCAATGTACAGTGTCTTGTGGTGTCTTACGGATGACCTCACTGATAAATACAGGGCTTGTATTATGTGGACGTATTATTTGGTATTCGCTTTTCGCACTGTAATACCCATGTATCATTATATTGTACGGTGTGTTTCGATTAAAATTTAATACGAACAATTGTTTGATGGATTTGTTAAAATGTGTCTAAAGGGAAGAGGGTGAGAATGATAATTGCGGGATTAATCACAATCATAATGATTAATCAGAAAAGTGTAACCGAGTCATTTCCCGAAATGATTTTAAGAGGCCTATCATACACACAAGTTAGAATAGCTATATTTGGTGTCTTAATATGAAACTCTAAATACTCGGTCCAGGTGGGCCTAAGTACTAATAATTCGTAATTGGAAATCCAATTTACCAGTGTGAAAGAAGGCACCTGATTTTGCCATGAGGCGGTGCAGCACACCAGATGAAGAAGGGTACTGATATCATGTCACTACATGATTTTCCTCGTTGAGCAAAGCATTCATCTACAAGGTATCATATTTAAACTCAGATGCGGAGCAAAAGGGGGAACAGGACACCCCCGTAATCGAATGAAAGAGAAAAGTGGGAAATTGATTAAAAGAGAGAAATGTAACACGTGAAATGGATAAAGGACGAGAAAATAAAATGGTAAGACCCGAACCCACATCCCTTCAAAAATCAGAGGCTTTGTAAATTAGCGTATTTTTTCAGAGAGAGACAGGAGCCCCTTAAGATGTAAGTGCCCCTGCAATGACTTAACCATTGATAATACCCTTCCTCCAGATTGAATTAAATAGATGATTTGAAAGAAATTTCAAGTGATAAGATATACGCATCAATTTTTTTTAAATTAGGTTTTGAGAAGAACGTCGATTCGAAATTGAAAGCTTTTAAAAATGAGATTGAGAGTGTTTTAAGCTCGTCACAAGAATCTCTCGAAAGAGAAAAATACAATGGCATGAAGCAATTAAAAAGATTCATCAAGTCCGCAGGATCTCTCAGAAGGGGGGGGGGGTATGGTTAAAAAAAAAGGTTAAAACAAAAACGTCATAGGTAATGATTTAGAGAATATTGGCTGCTATAGTAATGGCCAAAATTAAACTGATTGAATATGTGTGCAGCACAAAACGTACGACCATTACCGACCATTACTTAGTTAATTGCAATCATTTCAGTCGATTCGACAACCAATGGTTATTATTGTCCCACTACAAGCCATTTTCAAGCCCTTTCGTTTTGAGGGAAGTTCCAAAATAGTGTTGTCTTTTAAATGCCGTTGGAATTTATCCTTTTCATTTTTTATGGCCTGGCAAATGGGGCATGTTACAATCTAAGGTATGTGATCATTTCATGATCACAATGATGATGAAGATGATGATGATGACGATAATGATGCATATGATGATACTTTTTAACAGTATTTTTCAATGATTTTCTATCAATGAACTAATCCAATCCAATACAATATTCAATGTAATGCAATACAAAGCAATACTAAAATCGGCGCCTTACAAATCTCAATTGTTTTTATTACTCTTAATATCATTATAATAATTATCATTTTTTTAATGATTATAATTATCATTTTAATTTTTTTTTTCATTATTGTTATTTTGTATTATTATCATCATCGTTATAATACTATACAAATAATGAATGGTTATGAGTTCAATAGTGCGAATATTTTCATGAGTTGAAAGATTAACATTCTATTCAACGAGGCGTCAGCCGAGTTGAATAGAATTAATGTTAATCTTTCAACGAATGAAAATATTCGCACCATTGAACGAATGAAAAACATTCATTATTTGTTTTATACAACATCGAAGAAGATCTAATAGAACGTTAATCAACAAATTATGCTTTACTCTTTATATTAAAGATAAATTCAAGTTGGATTCAAGCCTTCTCGATTACATTCAGATTGCCTTCGCGTCAGATACACGCAGGGATACGCGCGCGCACGGCAGAGAGGTACGCAGTCTGCATATAACCAAAAATGCACGACCGTGCAATATACCATCTATTGAATATCATGTGACCAACAATCCTCCAATCAAATGACAGGGATCCATGTAGGTGTTGTATAAAATACAATAATTTTCAGGAATCCTGGTGCATCCACAAGCCTACTGTATATAATACAATTCAATATGATACATTTATAGCAATACATGTACTTCATAGGCGCCTTTCAGTTTTCGTGGGATGTATAATCTATAGGATGTACCTATTAATATCCTTCTTCGTCATTCGGCTCTCACACCGAATCTTAGGCTGTGAATGACTTACACCTAACATTGTAAACACGGCTTATCGTAGCTCGCCTATCTTTGGTACCAGCTTAACTACGTGGTCAATAATACAGCAGCCAATCAGAGCTCGTCCCTCGCCGTCTGTAGCTTTTAGAGAAAATGTTTGATCCATGGTCACACGGAGCACTAGATACTACTACAAGCTGAGAATGCAAGTGTTAGCTACCAAGCACGCACCCATGTTTGGCGGCAGAGCAATCCCTACGATGTCTACCATCAATAGTTATTTTATTTTATTTCAGTGATAAATATAACTCAATAAAACTTCATTTTTAGCAGATCAATAATTTGCGTATTTAAGCAGAATAACCTGTGTAATATTGTTTTAGAGTTGTATCCTTACAGTACCGTAGCAGCTTCTGACTATATGGGCAAAATTATATACTAGTCTGCGATATGTATACTTATCGTGCACGAAATGGGATAACCTTTTAAATTAATATGAAGGGAATTCATGCGCTTTGATTTCATGTTAATTATTTAATTGCCGCATTAATAACTAAAGGCTGAACTTTTGTTTGGGAGAGGGGGGGGGGCTGATGGATAGAGATAGTTATCCCATAATACTTATGGATAATATCTCCCACCGTATCACAAATTTCTCACAACTATATTCTTTCTTTACCTTCATCGGCATGATCAGGTAGGTCATACGATCGAAAGAAAATATGTCCGTTCTATCACATTAATCGTGTTAATTCTGATAATAATTATTTGCGACTTTTTGACGCGTGGTATTTCATTTACCATTTCAACATAGCCGGAAACAGAAAGAGCTAGTAATGATAGTGATATATCTGTACGATTTCTATATAAAGATTTTCAGGTTTTGATTGTCGAAATAACAAAGGAATGAGCGACTTGGGAGCATTAAAACTAGTAGACTTATGGTACAAGCGCACGGAAATTCAATGTCGGTGTTACTTTCTATTTGATATCACATACTTCACCTTGTGTTCTTCATTTATTACTTGTAAATATTTATATGTTTATCAAAAAAACAATATGACTTTCGGTTTCGTCTGAAAGCATTCATATTTGTGTCCCTACTCTATATTTTAGTTTTGATTAGCTTACTAGTATAAGACATGACAACCAACATTCTTTAAGAGAAACAAATCCGAGCGCCTTTTCACAGCTCAATAGGAGGCTGACCGTCTGCAGCAAAGGATACCCATTCGTTTTTGCTTCTATGAGCTTGTGTTAGCATATATTCAAGAGCGATATATTATCATCCGACTAATGTGTACCTTTCCTTTTTCTGAGGTGATATATTGACGTCATGGAAAACGGCTCAATCTTGTACCTATTGCTTATCGCTTGTCTCCTCGTCAGCTCGTCCTTTCAATCTTTACATCGACACGATGGAGATTCGGTGATGACATTCTTAACCCATTAACTACTGAATTCATTCATTCCCATAGGTTTAATACAGTAGCCACCCGGTTCCCGTAGGCAATGGGCTAACACTAGACATGGAAAAATCTTTTCATGGATGTGATCAGAACTATGAACTGAAAAAAGCTTCTTGCCGCGATAAAGGCCTGGACACGGTTCCCAAGAATCTTTCTGAGGATACTAAGATGCTTGACTTGTCTCAGAACAATATCAGCAAACTCTTGAACTCCTCGTTTGAGGTATACCCTCTAATCACCTCCTTGGACATTTCTGATAACGATGTAAGAGCGATAGAATCCGCCGCTTTTTACCCCCTCAAGGCCTTAAGGTCCCTGTATCTAGTCTTTAGCCCGCGTCTTGTGCTTCCATCAACAGGCGTCTTTATGATGTCTTCACAGCTTTCCATTCTCGATTTTATGTTATCAAACTTGGACTCACTCCCCAATGACATTCTAAAATGGAGTCCACATCTAAATGATGTACGTCTGCCCTACAACGAACTCTCTTTCATCAATATAAGTTTTTGTTGCGTGGCCGACAATGTAATGATGCTAGGTAATGAAATACAACACCTTACGGCGAGAGATTTCACCTTTGTGTGTCACACTGATACTCTAGATCTTAGAGAAAACCCTATCCAATCAGTAAACCCTGATGTGATCGCATCACTACATGTTCGCTCTTTGATGCTAGGTGGCAACCCTTTTAGTTACGAGGTGTTGGCCAACATCATCCTCGGAATCTCAAAATCAGACATCGAACGGCTTACAATCGAGAAAGGTTCTATTGGTGCATTTCCGGTAGGTTTCCTTGATCCTCTGCGCGATTCTTCGCTCACTGCTCTGGCGTTCACCCACAACGACCTGAATAGCCTCTATCCTTTAGTGTTCTCAAATTTGACAAAACTCAAACAATTCAGTTTAAGTGCTAACCAAATCCCCATAGACGAAATTCAACCAGACTTTTTCGACGGCATGAATGAATTAAAGAAACTGATAATCAAAAACAATCAAGTGAGACAAATAAATCCTCACAATCAAACTTGGACAGTGGACTTATCGGAGTTTGACTTATCCGGTAATCTGTTAACAGAAATATCTGGATCTGTATTTCGCGGTTTAGGAAATTTTACTTTCTTAGACATGAGCTCGAACGAATATCTTTCTGTCTTTGAGCTGACGGCCTTTTCAGGACTGAACAATATTCAAACCGTTATTTTGACCGGAACTCAATTAAATGTTCTTGAATTGAACACCCCAAGATTAAGATCACTTTTTCTAAACACTCTTTATGGATCCATGATTCTTTTTATACCAGGAGAATCGTTTCAACATTTACAATCCCTTCTTAATTTGGACATGAAAGACTCTCATCTTCGTATATATGACCTATGGAATGACATCACAAACACGTCTCTTTCCGATAGATTATTGGATCTCATTCATTTGGACTTGAGTAGTAACCCTTCCCTGAGTTCTATAATGGAGATACCGACTGGCATATTCCAGCAACTCTCTGTTTTACAAGAGCTAAATCTAGACTACTGCGATATTACAAATCTACATCCTCTTGTCTTCTCGGGGTTGGAATCGCTTAGAAAGTTGAGTTTGGAAGGAAACAACATCCAACATATTCATGATGATGTTTTGTCGGGGTTGGGTCAAATACAAAGTATCAACTTTGACGGAAACTGGATCGCATACTTGGAGGAGGTAATATTCTCAAATAATTGGAAGCTCACAAATCTTTCCTTGGCTCACAACAGATTAACGCGCCTTAATCAAGCAACTTTTGAGCCAATCTTTTCCTCTATTTCATCACTTGATCTATCAGTGAACCCAATTGATTGTAACTGTGAACTAAAGTGGCTTATTGATTGGTTAAATGAACCTATCCGCCTGAAAAACAAGGATAAAACTATTTGTTCGTCAGCATCTCTGGAACCTCTTCGTGAGAAACCCCTGCTTGATTTTGATCCAAATGAACTCTGTATATTAAACAATTATCTTCTCTTTCTGATTCCCCTCGCTTTCATTAGCTTGGTTGTAATCAGCGTGCTGTTGTATCGCTACCGATGGCAGTTGAGGTACAAAGTTTTTCTCTTCAAACTGGCCGTACTGGGCTATAAAGAGATGCGAGACGCTCGAGACCACAATGACTACGAGTTTGACGTGAACATCATTTTCTACGATGATGACGAAGAATGGATTCGCGAACAGCTCCGACCTGCTCTCGAGGAACGGCTTCCACAGTTTCAGAGGAACGTCTTTGGTGACGAATACGTTGTGCTGGGTATGCATTACTTAGATTCTGTCGATTACGTGGTGAGCCATAGTCACAAGACCATCATAGTGCTTAGCAGAGCTGCTGTGCACGACCACTGGTTTATACTCAAGTTCCGTACGGCCATGGACCACGTGAGTGACACTCTGACGGAATTCGTAGTCGTGGTTTTCCTCGAAGACATCCCAGATGATGAAATGCCATTCTTGGCGAGGTTGTATCTCAGTGATGGCAGACCCTATATTCACTGGAATGAGAACGTGAGAGGACAAGAATATTTCTGGGATAAATTGACCAAAAATCTCACCATTAATTTAAGGACGAATGACTTGATCCCAAGTGAGTAGCAATCATGTAGGAATATAGAGATAAGTGTGATGGTTATCAGTAATGAAATTGGTAGAAGTAGTAGCATCATAATTGTCTTCTAAATATTCTTATTCACTGTATCATTATCATCGATATCATTAATATCATCATTTTCATTATTATTGTTATTATCATCATTATCATCATCAGCCTCACCAATATCATTTTTGTTGATGTTTTTGTTTATACAATCAAATTAAAATATGTTAGAAAAATCAGTAGATCATTGGCAATAATATAAGATACGATGTCCCTTTTGCAGCCAACATCAAATTCTGTAGAACTTTGCAGGGATTATGAATATGTTATGTATGTCCTATCTGTGCAATTTAAACATTATCAGTGTCCTAGTATTCTAATTATGCAAGGAAACCCGTTTACCTTCTAGACTTCACTGACAGACACTATTAAGTGACTGAATGGCATCATTCTTTCTTTTGTAATAACATACATAAAATGAGCTATAACAGGTACATGTGTGCATGGGCATTTGTCTACATCAATTATAACTAACTACCCAATAAACAAAATCACGTGAAAATCACGTCAATATCAAGGTATCGACTTGAGGAGAGTTACGTTCTTCAAACACCTAACATTTACGTAAATGTGTTAATACGTTTATTGCACTAGGTAACTTAAAACACACGTACACTAAATCATGCAATTGTCACTGGAATATCACCATTATAATAAAGTGGTTATCCCTACCTTGGAGACCATGGTTTGTAAGCCTAATACTCCCGTGTTTGTTTGGTTATGAAATTACATCTTCATAAACGAAATTATCGCGTCACAGAAACACGTGAAGCGTTAGTGATAGTTTTAGTCAAAATATCTGCATGAAATTCACGTGAATATTACGAGGCTAACTTGAGATGAATCATGTTCTTCATTCACGTGAAATTTACGTCGAAGAGGAAGTATGTTACTGTAACCCGCGTTCAACCCAATAATTACGCAAATGTTACACAATAAATGAACCAAAATAATGATGTTCTCATCCCGTTTCTGAACATCATGTCTTGGATCTTCCATAATTACGTCCAGGCGCGCCGGAAGCAGTTTGGGATTAGAGGGGGTTGGGGGGGGGGTGCAAACATCCCAGAAGAGAAAGCTTGTTGCAACTGGTCCAGTTGATAAACCAGTTAATGCCAAGTGGTAACCCTGGAAATTGAAATGGGCTAAATGATCCAGTTAATCCAGGCCAGTTATAATTCAACTGGTCTAGCTGAGCCAAGAACCATTTGGTAAAACTTCCAACCAGTTGAACAGCAACAATACTTCAATACCGGTACGTCTGTATTTCCAATGTAAAGGCATTGGTAATAAGTAGACTTACATAATTGAATTAATCGAAAGTTTTTCGTATACTTGTACTTTATTGAAATTATTTTAGTTCATAGTTAATGTTTCCCTTATTCATGTTTACCTAAATGTAATTTATACGAAGAAGCGAAATGTCCTAATAACTGATAATTTATATTTGTAGTATTTTCGAAATGAATTGCATATAACTAAATCATCAGTAATTAAGAAATATGCTGTAAATTCAGATAAATTGTTTAAAAAACATAGATCTGCACGCACCCCATATTCAATATGCAAATTAATTGGTGTCAGCTGGTTCAACTCGAAATATGCCAACAGTCACGGGATTATCACCACGGAACTTAAATGGTAACGGTGAAACCATCAAGACACCCCAAAATAACTCATTTTCACACCTGGAAAACACGGAATACCCAGCTTATATTAATAATCCGTTTGAGTCATGAGATCATCACCGCGGAACTGCTGGCAACGTTTTTTTAGACACCTAATAATTACTAATTTTTCACACCTAAAAGTCACGTATGCCCAGCTTAGATTAATAATCCGTTTGAGTCACGAGATCATCACCGCGGAACTTATGGCAACTTTAACTACCATTTAAAAAGGTGTTGTAAAACACTTAATAATTAATAATTTCCACACCTACATATCACGTATTCACAGCTAAGATTAGTAATCAGCTTAAGCCACGTGATCATTACCAAGAAATTTATGGTAACTTTGAAACCATTTAAAGAGGTGTGTAAGACACCTCAGAATTACTAATTTAATATAACCAGAGATTCACGGACAGAACAATAAGACGATTAGCCGGTGTAAGTAACGTGATTATTACCATCAACCTTGGATAACCTGTGAAACCAATCGATAAAGGTGCTTACAAGACCAAATAATTACGTATTTATCGCCACCATCGGTTAACGGACAAAAAACTCGTTGCTTGGTCAAGTGGTTATTTGGTCATAAACACTTGATTTACAGAGGTAAATGGAATCACGTTACTCCAGTCGCGTGATAAACTGGTGGTTTTTAGGTTAGATGAAAACGTGAACAGGAGTACCTTTTTTGTTTAAATGAAGGCACGTGTCGATAACGTTTAAATCTAGTTCAAAAGGCACTATACTTTAAAATCACTTAAAATACACTCCCAAAAGAGGTTACTTTTTAGTGTTCTGTTTATTGGGTACTTGTAATTGCCGAAATTAAGCTGATTGCATCTTTGTGCAGCACAAAACTTATGAACATTCTGTAAAAGGGTCTAAAAACCAGAATATTACTGAGGTGATTGCAATCACATAAATCGATTCAACAACTAATGGTATTATTATCCCACTAAAAGCCATTTTCAAGCCCTTCCCTTGTGAGGGAAGTTCTAAATTAGTAATGTCTTTTAAATGTCGTTGTAATTAACCTTTTCATTTGTTTGTCCTGCAAATGGGACAAAGTACCTTAACGTGTATTTTCGTGGTATGATAGCTTCATGATATGGTGGGATGCAAATACTTATAGTACTTGTAGCGGCAGTTTATTTTTATTTTTCAATATTAGGATTCGATCACTATTAGTGCAATTTTATAATTTAATATTTGCTTTTAAAGCATTTAAATGTTCATACTTACTGATTCCTATTACTCTAAGGCTCAGTGCACACTACACGATCTGACTGCGATCCGATTTTGGAAGAATTTACAACAGCATATGAAAATTCCAAGATGCACAATCTCAATGATCGAGAATCTGATTATTCATGTAATTAATAAACTCTAACTTGTATGGGATTTCAAGCTTCCTTGACGGAGGAAAAGCTAAATCCGCTCAGAATCTTAGTGACGTCATACAGTTTAGCTATTGGATACAATTTGCAGTCGATTCGGAATTAATTTTCAACATTAGAATTACAATCACTATGACTGCGAAAGTACTAAAATTATCGTTGTTAGTATTCTTATGATCATTTACAATCTAAATCTGCAAAACGTTCTTCGTTTCATTTCCATAACTTATACAATTGCCATTTCTTCAAGAATCGGATCGCAGTCGGATGGTGTAAGTGCAAGACTTTATATATATGGTTCGGAATCGACTCTTCAATCAATTACCTGAGGCGTCCCTAAGGTTCTTTGTGTGTGTGTGTGTGTGTGTGTGTGTGTATTGGGTTTTACAGACGTGTATCAATCAGAAATGACTATTTACGTCTGAGGACCGACCTTTAAACGTCACCATCCGAAAGACGTGACTCAGTTTCGAACCTGGGTCCTCGCCTGAATCAGTTTGTAACTTACACTGTTAGCTGGATTACAGGCGCACGCCACAACGCCTAGTTTATTAGGTCCGCTCCTTTTTATTTTATACATCAATGATCTCAAAAACTCATCTGAAATCTCATCATTTATTCTTTTGGCGGATGACTCCAATTTATTTTGCTCTCACATTAACCCAGAAAAACCGTAGATTAAAGACTTCATGCATGGCTGATTGTCATCGAAACGGAGTAAAAGATAAAAACCAGTTATGGTCATGCAATAGCATTGTGGAGGAAACGTTGTGGAATCGATCAGAAAAGGTTGATAATCTAGAATATAAGTATTGGTGAGTTACTGCAGGGTTCTGGAATCATCAAGATGATAAAAAATTTTGCCCAGTCTTGGTAAAGTTACAAGCACTGTACACAGAAAGATGTATATGGGACTACGCGACATGTGCGCGACACGTGCGTTATATTTATCAGGTCCAAATAGATATAATAATTTACCAAATATATCAATTAGTAGGCGGTTGCTCGGCAAAATTTGTATGATCACGTATTAGTCAAAACATATTCTTTCACAATGATTGGTAATAAAAGCTTCCATTTCATCTTTTTAGAGGAGGGCGTTTCCAAACAGGCCTTCACCTTTAAGTCTTTTGTTTGTTCTGCTTGTTGCTACGGCACGCAGCCAGTGAAAACGAATTCGTTTGATAAAATCATGGAAATGTGATTTTTTTTTCCTTGAAATTCAGATACCGTCCGCAAATGACCTTTTGGTTTTCTCTCTTCAAATTCATTTTAATGACTAATGCGTATAATATGCTTCATATGAGTTGCATCAAATGAAAGAGGAGGATCTCAGCTTTCCAAATATGTGTCATTTATTAATTATAAATGTGACTAAGTTATGATAAAACATCGATAATTCTCGGTTTCGTTTTTTGGGTCGCACTGTATAGAGCGCTTTTGCAAACACGACGGAAGGTAAAGACAAAGGTAACCGAGCGAAGCAATCAATCTGAGCATGCGCGAGCCAGAATTTTCTCCGTATTTTTGTTTTTCACGACCGTTCTCGGCCATAATAGCGTTCGTTCCCTAAACACGACGGAAGACCTATATCGCCGTACAATAGGCCATTTTCGTAATGTAACCAAATTCAATGCACAAGTCTTTGTGAAGTGCCTCAATATAAATTATTTCATTCACCTGAGAAGAATAATAGTATTTTAATAGACAGAATCCGAACTGCACGCGTTTATTGATCTCGGTTGAGTGAATTCTTCCGTCGTCTTTGCGAAAGCGCTCTAGTTTGTAGGGGAGGACAGAGAGCTGACGAAGTGAACGTACCGTTAGATCAACTCACATATAGCCAGTGTTTGGTAATATTTCGTATTG